AAATTGGTTTTCAAGTGTTATGGCAGCATAGCATCAGAAATTCAATGTCACTTTAATCACAAATTTAAATAAAATTGATTCAGCACCCAATAAATACCTATTTAATATACGATTTATAATTCTCACTAGAAGTCAAGATAAAGTCGGCTCCAATATTAAGGGGTTTACTTTATAAGAAAAAAATCTGCTGATTTCTAGAAAAATGAATAAAACTATTAGGATGGCCCCTGGGAGTAATTGAAAACATCTTTCAAGAAAAAATAAATAATTATATAAATAAATAAAATACTAGAACAACCCACCTTCCCAGATAAATCTGAAGAAGCAGAGGGTTCTCCCGTTCGCTCTGTAGATCCAGCACAAGGAGAAAGGCCCGGGCTGAAAGCCATGAGGTCAGTCTTCGGTGGACCCTCCCCAGAGCACACCCTCTGCCTCCTCTGCTGCGAGTATGACCAACTCCCCACCTCGCTGGAACACACCAGCGTAGGCTTGCCCAGCGCGCACTCTCCCTCGGTGGGCAGCGCAGAGCACCGCAGCGCAGTGTACAGCAGCAGCGTGAGGACCAACAGGCTGGACACGGCGCAGATGGCGATGATCAGGTACACGTTGACATCCACCAGCGTTACCTCGGCGCCCGTGGCGCCCACTGACGCCCGCGAAGATGCCTTTGGCGCCTGGCCGCTGTCCACCAGCGACACCAGCACAGTGGCCGTGGCTGTCAGCGCTGGCTCCCCGTGGTCTTTCACCAGCACCAGTAGGCGGTGGCGCGGTGCGTCCGTCTCATCTAGGGCTCGTGTCGTGCTGATCTCACCAGTGTACAGCCCCACGCGGAACGGGATGCGCGCGCTGACCGTTTCTGGCTGCACCTCGTATGAAAGCCACGCGTTGTAGCCTGAGTCGGCGTCCACTGCGCGCACCTTCCCCACCACCACGCCGGCGCCCACCGACCGCAGCACCAGCTCGCTGACTGCGCCGTCAGTGCCCCTCGTCCGAGGTGCCAGCAGCACCGGCGCATTGTCATTCTCGTCCAGCACGAATACCTGCAACGTCACGTTGCTGCCCAGAGGCGGCACGCCCGCGTCGCGCGCGCTCACCTGGAACTGCAGCAGCTCCAGCTCCTCGTGGTCCAGCGGCTGCAGCGCGTACACCTTGCCGCTCTCCGCGTGCACCGACACGTAGCTCGACAGCGCGCGCTCGCCCACCCTCCGCTCCACCAGCGAGTAGGACACCAGCGCGTTCTCCTGCGCATCCGCGTCCCCCGCCGACACTGTGAAGATGTGGCAGCCCGGTGGGTTGTTCTCCTTCACGAACACCGTGTACTCGGACTGCGCGAACGCTGGTGCGTTGTCGTTCACGTCGGCCACCTCCACAGACACGCTGGCCGTGGCCCACAGAGAAGGCGAGCCCCCATCCCGCGCGGTCACCACCAGCTCATAGGCCGACATACTCTCGCGGTCCAGGGCGCTGTCCAGCACCAACGAGTAGTAATTCTTGTAGGTGGACACCAGCTTGAAAGGGACGTGGGGCGTCAGGGAGCAGGTCACTTGCCCGTTGGCATCTGCGTCTAGGTCAGTCACACTAATCAGGGCAATAACTGTCCCCAGTCGTGCGTCCTCTTTTACAGGAAGCGAGAGCGTTTTGATAATCAACCGTGGAGCATTGTCATTTACATCCACAACTTCCACAAGAACTGTACAATGACCAGCCAGTGGTGGGAAGCCTTTATCGACAGCCTCTACTGGGATCTTGTGTGCTCTACTTTCTTCAAAATCCATGTGTCCTATCACCGTGATTGCCCCACTTACGGGGTCCATGTGGAACTTGGATTTTATATCTGGAGAAACGTCACTGGAGAAGGAGTAAATAATATCCCCATTCAAGCCTTCGTCTAAATCTGAGGCATTGGGGTGTATCACCAGCGTTCCGATAGAAGCGTTTTCTGGTAATTTCACCGTATAGAGGGTTCTGTCGAACACTGGGGCATTGTCATTGACGTCCAGTACTGTGATGAGTAACTGAACAGTGCCAGTCAGTTCAGGTTTGCCTCCATCGGTGGCCGTGAGCAATAAATGAAGCTCCGGAGTTTTTTCTCTGTCTAAAAGTTTCCGTAATACAAGCCCAAGAGGTTTTACCTGCTGGTTGCTGGTTGGCACATCCAGGGAGAAATACTCATTGGGGCTCAGTCTGTAAGTGAGCAAGGCGTTCTCCCCGATATCTGCATCGGACGCGCCCTCTAGTGGAAACCGAGAGTCAAGCGGCCTGGATTCCGCGATGAACAGGTTCTTTTGTGTCGCTGGGAACACGGGAGGGTTGTCGTTAATGTCCTTCACCTCCACGTCCACATGGAAAACCTGCAGTGGCCTGTCCACGATCACCTCCAGGTGGATGCTGCACTCCGCACTCCGCCCACACAGCTCCTCGCGGTCCATCCGAGAATTCACAAACAAAATGCCATTCTGCAGATTTACCTCCAGAAGGTCCCCGCGGCCTTTGGAATCCAACTGGAACAGGCGCGGCACCAGCTCCCCCAGCTCCAGCCCCAGGTCCTGCGCAATGCGGCCGACGAAGGTGCCGTGTTTGGCTTCCTCCGGGACGGAGTAGTGGAGCTGGCCGCTCCCTACCACCCACATCGCCAGGATCAGAAGCGAGAGCAGTAGAGGCTGACCCTCTGGATCTCCTCGACTTGAGTACAACATTTCAAATACTAAGTCTTCTTCTAATTAGTGAAAACTGCCTTCAAATTAGGAGAAATCATCTGATTTCGTCAGTCCCCTTCTGCTGTGTTCGCCATTGTTCAGCATAGAGAGAGTGAAAAAGAATTGAGCCTCTTTCCCGTGGGAAAAGGGCTGTATTTGTCTAGATTCAGAGAGAACATCGCGGCAAAGAGTGACATCACGTGGCCCAAAGTGTAAGTACATATTTTATGAATAAAATTTTCACAACTATTCTGCAAGACTTATTTCATTTTCTTAATTTTTTCTTAAGTAATCATTGTTGAAACAGAATATCCCGTTTCTCTTGCTGGAGCCTTCTTAGCAGACTGACCGCCTCTAAAAGTTTTGTATGACCTTGATTGTGGTTTTCTCACCCCTGAGAAAACTCTCCACTTAAGTTTTAAATAACGACAGAAATGAAGTAAAAATTAAAATGATTCCATTGAGCAATCATGAATTTTAAATTACAAAATTCCTTTGTTCTGGAATTCAGAATCTCCCATATGGCTCGAAATGGGATTCTGGTGTAAGAGAAATCCAGGAGTTGCAATCTCTAGTGAATATAGGAGCCCAGAAATCTACTGATGAAAAAGAAACTTGGTCATTTCTGGGGAAAGGAATCAAGAAAAAGGAGCAACCAACTGAGGTAGTGTTCTTGAGTAATTCTATGAATTGAAAAGGTAGAAAATATTGCAAGAAAAGCGAGAATTGACTTTAAGGTCTTATGTTGCGTGGGGAGAAAATATATTTTTCTCTTTTGTAGCATTTATACAATCTGTTTCCAGAAATGTGTTTGTTTGATTCTTTCCAAGTGTTATCATTTATGAATAATCTCTTCTTTGTAATCTCCAATATAGTTTGTATTATATGTTATTACAATATGTTTTGATTTCATTATTACTCATCCTTGGTACTCAGGGCAATTTCTGTTTTTAAAGTTATGCTTGAGATTATTTACCTGCCTAAGTTCTACAAAGTTCTCTTGTGAGTTTTACTATCTTATTCCAACGTGCAAGTCGATTAATTAAATCTAGATTTTAGTGTATCTCAAGCCTAAAGGCAAAATCGTGACAGTTTATTGTGCCATTAATGTTTTTGCATGTTTATCTTTTATTTCATATTTCTACTGATAACAGCCTAAGAGGTGCTTTTAACAATTGCTTCTGGCCTTGATTATTGCAGTAGCTTCTGAGTTTGTCTTCCCGTTCAACCTTCTTTTAAAAGTCGTGATTTATTTTGCTCCAAGTAGTTTAATAGTTCCCAAATACTTCTAAAGAATGGCCAAATTCCTTAATCACTCGCGGCCATTTAGTTTATTGCTCAAAAATCAAGAGATCTTCTTACATTGGTTTTCCTGCCTTCATTCTCTGCAGACTGTGTGTTTTAAAAAGGGGACCTTTCTATGTGTCATATTGATGCTTTTCTGTGTCTTCCATTTTCCTTATGTTTTCTCCTTCCAAGAAATGTCTATTATTCTCGATATTCTCCCAGGGGGAAACTTACTTATTTAAAAACCACTGAAACACATCATGCTCCTTCAAGTATTTCCTCAAAAATTCAAATAGGAAATTATTGTCTTTCAACTTCAACCTCACTCTGATTTACCTCTTTTGTACCTGTTACATTATCTTGCCTTGCATTGTTGTGACTCTTATTCTTTATTTGACCTCAAATTTTAAAGCCAGAAGCTGGGTCTCAATAATAATTCCGGACATGGAGATATGCTGTTAGAAATCTATAAGGGTCCTATTTAATGTTTAATGAAGACTGGTTATTACAATCTTCTCTACTTGCTAAGAAAGCATTTTAGGCTGGACGCAGTGGCTCCTGCCTGTAATTCCGGCATTTTGGGAGGCCGAGGTTGGTGGATCACGAGGTCAGGAGATGGCGACCATCCTGGCTAACACGGTGAAACCCCATCTCTACTAAAAATACAAAAAATTAGCCTGGCATGGTGGCCTGCGCCTGTAATCCCAGCTACTCCGGAGGCTGGGAAAGGAGAATCACTTGAACCCAGGAGGCAGAGGTTGCAATGAGCCGAGATCGCGCCGCTGCACTCCAGCCTGGGAGATAGAGCGAGACTCCGTCTCAAAAAAAGAAAAGAAGGAAGGGAGGGAGGGAGGGAGGGAGGGAGGGAGGGAGGAAGGAAGGAAGGAAGGAAGGAAGGAAGGAAGAAGGAAGGAAGGAAGGAAGGAAGGAAGGAAGGAAGGAAAGAAAGAAAGAAAGAAAGAAAGAAAGAAAGAAAGAAAGAAAGAAAGAAAGAAAGAAAGAATTTTAAAAGGCTATTCTACAACACTCTACATAAATGGTCTACTTAATTCATAGAACTACAACATAAATTGACTTCAAATCATCATCAAAATATTATCGTATACTTCTTTTTAAGAAAAATACTATTAATGGAAAGAAACATACAAAGATCTCAAACACATACTCAGCCCTCTGCAAGGTCTCAGGCAACTTTTAAATATGGGAAACATACAGCTACCAATGTAAGATAGTCTACACATTCCTTGGAAGGACTTTAACCATTCCAGAAAGTTTTTTTCCACATAGGTGGTATTAACTTGACTTTCCTAAACCCATAATAACCTTTAGATTTTTTTCATTCCACCACACAACACTCAAAGTATTGAAACATCCTAGGTTAATCTAAAAATGACTTTATAAAAGATAATTTTACATAAAAATAAGGTTAGTATGGACGGTCATAATGACTTTCTGACATTTTAGGTTTCCTTCTTGCAATCACTAACTTCTTTTCTTTTAAGAATGATAACTAAATTTTATTATGTACCTATCACTTGCCAGACTTTATTCTTGATAATTTATAACTATTAACTTACTTGATACAAAAAGTATATGCAGTAGAATTCACATTTATCATGCATACATATAAAGCCAAGGAACTGAATAACAAATCCTTTACCAAAGACTACATATACAAAAATTGGTAAAGGGAGGACTTGATTTAGAGAGCTTCAGAATCCACAATACTTAATAACTAACTTCTGGCACATTTCAATCCCAGAAATACTTAATAGCTAAAAGCATCACCATAATTAGAATAGTGAAAAGTATTAATGTACAAGAAACAGGTTTAGACTTTCTCATTGTGAAAGCACAACCCCAAATTCAAATATCAATTAGAGAGATATTTGAAGAAACACAGAACTAAAATGACTTAAATGATAAGTTGCCAAATACAATGCTAGGTGGCGGAAAGAATCCTTTTATTTATGATATTTTGTAAAAGTCAATTAAATGTTTAGGAGAATTCAGTAATTAAAGTAATACCTGAGAACCAGGTAGACATAGACAGGATGGGAAATATTACTTACACAAAGGAAAAACTCCACATACTATTCAAACAGGATAATAAAGATAAGCATATTTTTTAAAGTCCTTAAAGGACTAAAATGAAAACAATTTGCTTTTATGTAATGTGTTCTAATAGTCAAATAAAATGTTAAACATGGACAGGCATTAAGAGAACATTAAAATCAACTACAAAATAATTCTGCTTTGAGGTTACCTTCAGGTGGACAAAGGGGATAAAACATGCCCATAAATGATTACATTATTGGTTCTTAAGGGATTAAAAGATTTAAAATAATGCTAATAACAAACTGTAAGAATTCAGAGTCCCAGAAATCCTTCATTCCCTTCCATCAAGTTCCACCATTTCCTCCAAAGCAACATGCTCAAAGTCTAATGGGTATTTAATATCAAGGCAGGTGGAACAGTCACAAGAAGCAAAAGTAAAAAGACAAGAGGAAAGAAAAGAAAGAAAACATTGAAAGACATCAAAATAAAGTATCTTGGATTTTTCAAAGATTTATCCCATAAAGCTAAATATTTTTACACAAACTAATGGGCCATGATAATCCCAAATATTCTGTATAATAAAGATTTATAAATTATGTTTGGTTTGCAAGAATGAAATTACCATGTATAGTTTTTCTGATGAAAACATTTTTCTAAGTCATATTAAATATCACTTTAATGTGGAATATTATTGAGAAGATTCCAACTCATGAACAAAGGATTGAATGATAAGAGTTTAGAAGATACTTGCAAGAGTAAAGTAATCATTTTCTAAACATAGAGGCTCAAAAAATGTTAAGTTGTCGACACCCCAACTGTAAAAATCATGTAGAATAAAAAACACGTCTCCAAATAGTAAAATGGTCTAAATAATGACTTAAAAGAAGCATTACAAATCTCTTCCCTCTTGATTTTACTTTTTTACTAGTTTATAAAAAAATTAGGAAGTATATGAAAACTATCAAATTTTGAAAAACACTATTATTCTGTATTTTATCACTACATTGCTTAAAACGGCAATAGTGAAACACCAAAGATATTTGTGACTATTAGACACCAGAAAGTCAGATAATAAGATGAATAAACTGAGATGTTAAAGTGAATAAGAGTAAACATAACGACAACATATTTAAAACATGCATTTCAAAGTACAGCATATGGAGTAAGATTAAGAGTTCAGTGCCTAAGGACAAAAGAATAAATGTTTTGGGGGAATACATTCACCAAAGATCAAAATACCCTGGACGTTGTTAGAGCATTGTTCAGAGAAGACGGCTGTAAGGCAGGCCAAAATAAATGGTCAGTAAAAAAGGGATATCATCCAACCATAACTTGAGTTTCCAGATAGACCCAACTTGTGGAGAATGATTAATACTGTATTATGCCACTGAGAAAATTCAATTAATTATAAAAGGTTTCTAAAAACTAAAACAATGTTTAAATTTTCACTATATAATACGGTGAAAAATACATATGAAACACTTTTAAAGTAATTACAATTTCCACAAATAGAATTTATGAGTTCTAAATTTAAATGGACTTACTTTGAGGCCATGATCAACATTTAAACCTTGCTGTTCGCCTACATCAACTGATCCCAGATCAGGAGGAAGGCTGGGGCTGAAGGCCATGAGGTCCGTCTTCAGTGGCCCCTCACCAGAGCACACCCTCTGCCGCTGTTGCTGCGAGTATGACCAGCTCCCCACCGCACTGGACCCGGCGGGGTGGGTCCCCGCCGGGCACCCACCCTCAGTGGGCGGAGCTGAGCACCGCAGCGCAGTATACAGTAGCAGCGTGAGCACCAGAAGGCTAGATACCGCGCAGATGGCGATGATCAGGTACACGTTGACATCCACCAGCGCCGCTTCGGGACCCAGAGCGCCAGTCGACGGCCTCGAAGACGCCTTTGGAGCCTGGCCGCTCTCCACCAGCGACACCAGCACGGTGGCCGTGGCCATCAGCGCCGGCTCACCATGATCCTTCACTATCACCAGCAGGCGGTGGCGCGGAGAGTCCGCTTCTTCCAGGGCACGAGTCGTGCTAATCTCTCCCGTGTACAGCCCCACACGGAACGGGAACCGAGCGCTGCTTGCCGCTAGCTGCAGCTCATACGAAAGCCACGCATTGTAGCCCGAGTCGGGGTCCACCGCGCGCACCTTTGCTACCACGTGGCCCTCACCCACCAACCGCGGCACCAGCTCGCTCACTGCACCACCAGTGCCACCCACCCGAGGCGCCAGCAGCACCGGCGCGTTGTCATTCTCGTCCAGCACGAATACCTGCAGCGTCACGTTACTGCCCAGAGGCGGCACGCCTGCGTCTCGCGCGCTCACCTGGAACTGCAGCAGCTCCAGCTCCTCGTGGTCCAGTGGCTGCAGAGCGTACACCTTGCCGCTCTGCGCGTGCACTGACACGTAGCTCGACAGCGCGCGCTCGCCCACCCGCCGCTCCACCAGCGAGTAGGACACCAGCGCGTTCTCCTGCGCATCCACGTCCCCCGCCGACACTGTGAAGATGTGGCAGCCCGGTGGGTTGTTCTCCTTCACGAACACCGTGTACTCGGACTGCGTGAACGCCGGCGCGTTGTCGTTCACGTCGGCCACACCCACAGACACGCTGGCCGTGGCCCACAGCGAAGGCGAGCCCCCGTCCCGTGCGGTCACCACCAGCTCATAGGCTGACACGTTCTCGCGGTCCAGGGCGCTGTCCAGCACCAATGAGTAGTAATTCTTGAAGGTGGACACCAGCTTGAAGGGGACATGGGGCGTCAAGGAGCAGGTCACCTGCCCGTTGACACCTGAGTCAAGGTCGTTCACGCTAATTAGGGCGATGACAGTACCGAATTGAGCGTCTTCACGTACAGGCAAGGATAAGGAAGTCAATGTTATCTCAGGGACGTTATCATTTTTATCCAAAATTCTCACTAAAACGGTGCAATGACCCACCATGGGAGGATGGCCTTTGTCCGTTGCGTCAATGCGGATTTTATATAAATTTACTTGTTCAAAATCCAAATTACCCCGAATCACTATTTCTCCTGTATTTCGATCTATGCTAAAGTGGTCAATAACCATAGTTGCAACAAGGCTATTAAAAGAGTATGAAATGGCCCCATTCGCTCCTTCATCCCGATCAGAAGCATTCAGTCTGATAACTGTTGTTCCGTTGTCTGCGTTTTCGAATATTCTTACTTCGTATTCAGGCTGCTCGAAAGTGGGAGCATTATCATTCACATCCAGCACTGTGACCAGCAGGTGAACACTGCCTGTAAGCTCAGGTTTGCCGCCATCTGTGGCTGTCAGGAATAAGTTGTGTGCAGGAGCGTCCTCTCTGTCCAAGGATTTTCTTAATACGAGCTCAACCAGTTTATTCTCATTGTTCTTTGAATTCACATCTAGCATGAAGTAATCATGAGAGCTAAGCCTATAAGTTAACACGGAGTTAGCTCCAACATCTGCATCAGACGCGCTCTCTAGCGGAAACCGAGAGTCTGGCATTCTGGATTCTGAAACAAATAGCTTTTGCTCTTTTACCGGGAACACTGGCGGGTTGTCGTTAATGTCCTTCACTTCCACGTCCACATGGAAAACCTGCAGTGGCCTGTCCACTATCACCTCCAGGTGGATGCTGCACTCCGCGCTCCTCCCGCACAGCTCCTCGCGGTCTATTCGAGAATTCACAAACAAAATGCCATTCTGCAGATTTACCTCCAGAAGGTCCCCGTGTGTTTTGGACGCCACCCGGAACAGGCGCGGCACCAGCTCCGCCAGCTCCAGTCCCAGGTCCTGCGCGATGCGGCCCACGAAGGTGCCGTGTTTGGCCTCCTCGGAGACAAAGTAGTGGAGCTGGCCGCTCCCCGCCTTCCAGGCTGCGAGGAGCAGAAGCGAGAGTAGTAGTCGCCGGGATCCCAGGTCTCCTCGCCAGTGACAAACCATGTTAAATAGTCGTTTCCTATTAGAAAATCTTATCTTAATATGAAGATGAACGACTGTACTTTCCGGCGTCTTTTAATTCAATTCCGCTGCATCTCCCATTGTTCAGACTTTAGAGACGGATGCTGTCAGAGGAACGACTTTGAACCTTGGCTAACCAGAACTTCTTAGTAGACAGCGACATCATGTGGCTTCAAAAGGTAATGATTACATGAATTACTTCCGCAATATCTGGGTTCTTTCATGCACCTTCTATTTCTTTATCATACTTTAATAGTAAATCCTTAACTTCATCAATTGCAGAGGTATTCATACCGTCTGGCTCCTTACATTAGTTTCATCTAGGGATTTCTTCTTCATAAGGAAAGGAATTTCTTCCCAATATTTTAAATATCGTATCAATTAATAATAAAGTATGACCTGTATGTCATGGATATCAGAAACGTAAACTGTCCTCCATAGTTTCGTGTGGAAGAAATGCATTAATATTTATTTGGTCACCAGAAACACTGGCATATATTACTCTGAGGTGAGCATATAATTCTAACTTTTCTACATTTTATCTTCTTGTGTTCTTATTGTTAAATTTCTGCTTTTCTTTATTCAATAAATGTCAAATTGCCTGAACAGTTTTACTTACTAAAGTAATAAAAATGTATGTGCATATTCTTTACACTATTTCCCGATATCTCTATAGCTTGTTAAATTCAGCCTCTCACTTAAAACATTTTCCTCTATGATTTCTCTGACATGTCAAACTCTAGTAGTATTTCCACCATTGGCTTGTTTGTTAGTTCTTCATCTTTCTTCTGCTCCAAAAAGTGAGTATTTTCCAGAATTATGCCTTTAACCTTTTTTCCCCAATCTTTTTATTTAACATTTCTATTTCCAGGGCTTTAAACTAGCCTATTATTTGAAGTATTCTTAACTCCATATCTGCAACCCCCTATTTTCATTTTCTACCTGACATTTTAACCTGTATATCCTAACATTGCCTAGAAAATGAGTCAACCAAAGTTAGAAGAATATCTAATCAATAATCACCCAAAACCCAAATCATTAAAAAATCACAATTTTTATAGCATGGCAATTCTCCACACTTACTCATATGTATTTTTATGATTTCTTTTCCCTTGCCTACCATATTTAAAGTTTGTATACATCCCATCTCTCCTTTCATGTGAGATAATTTCTGTCTTTATTAGTACAGCTTTCACTCGATTGCACTAAAATCTTCAGCAAGTTTATCTTTTTATTGACCAATTGTCAAGACATTAGACTTCCATCTGGGAGATAGGCTACATGACCATGAGCCAATCTTCTCGGTGCTAAGGCTAACCACTTTCCAATATGAGTCATATTTTACAGAAAATATGTTGTCTCTTTCTTGGTACACTCTTTGTTCAAGGTTTTTCTTCTATTACTTCATCTTTATGTGTGAAAATTCTATTCATCTTTCAAAGTCCACCTCAAAAGTAAATTCTCCATGAATGCCTTCATTGTAGATGATTAAGAGCTCCTCTGAATTTCTACAAAATTCTTACCAAAAACGTAGGTAAAATAGGAAAGGTGAATAAGGGCATTTTCTGTGAAATGATTTAAATTTCTCATCACATTATTTACACAAAAAAATATTTCTGTAGTTGACTCTAAATAGTAGCAAACAATTTGTAAAGAAAACAGTATTTCTGGATATTTCAGGAGTTTGAGACCAGCCTGGGCAACATGGTAAGACCCCATCTCTACAAAAAATACAAAAATTAGCTGAGTATGGTGGTGTGCGCCTGTAGTCCCAGCAACTTCGGCGGCTGAGGTAGGAAGATCACTTGAGCCCAGGAGGCAGAGGTTGCAGTGAGCCCAGATTGTGCCAGTGCACTGCATCCTGGGCTACAGATTGAGACCCTGTCTCAAAAATAATAATAATAATAATAATAATAATAATTGATGAATACAGTTTGGGTGGCTAAGGAGGATAAATCAACTTCAAGTATTTCCCAATTTAGGGAATTCCTATTTAGGGTATTTAAAACTTTCTTAATAATACACTAGGAAGGTTTTAAATATACATGCATGTAACCATAAAAACAAAGCAATGAAAACAGAATTACAATTACCATCTTTGAAGGTAAAAGATATTTATAGATTTTTCCACAAAACAATATTCTTTCAACAAGAGCAGCAAACTTGGTCTGCTTGTGGTGAATCACATATTACTGCTCAATGGTAAATAATTATATTGATTACCAAACAGATTTTTGACTTTGTATACTCTACCCTCATTCACGTTGAAAAGAAAACAGTAACATATCCTAAAATGATTTCCTAAAGTATATTAGAATATTAGGAACAGTGAAAATTGATCATCAGTTCTGGGTTTTATTTTATTTTATTTTATTATTTCATTTTATTTTATTTTTGAGGCAAGGTATTGCTCTGTCACCTAGGCTGGAGTTCAGTGCCATAACTGCAGCTTGGAGCTCCTAGGCTCAAGTGATCCTCCCACCTCAGCCTCTTGAGTAGCTGACACTACAGACACACATCACCATGCACAGCTAATTTTACAAAGTCTCTACAAAAGATGCACAAGCTGCTCTCAAACTCCTAGACTGAAGGAATCCTCCTGACTCGGCCTCCTGAAATGCTGGGATTAGAGGTGTATGCCACCACACCCAGTTAACTATCTTTTTTTAACTAACCAAATTATTTGTAAAAATTTTTTAAAAGTCTGGACAATTAGGTTATTGTTTCATTAATGTCCCTAATACAGTACTGGATTAATAAATCATGATATATCCATAAAACAAAATAAGATGCAAATACTTTTTAAAATAAGAAAGCAAATAATCAAAAAGAAGGAATAAGCGCTAATGAAATAATATGCCACAAAACCCAATATATAATTTAGGCTGGATGCGGTGGGTCACGCCTGTAATCCCAGCACTTTGGGAGGCTGAGGCAGGCAGATCACTTGAGCCCAAGATTTCAAGACCAGCCAGGGTAACATGGTGAAACTCTGTTTCTACTAAAATATATATATATATAGAGAGAGAGAGAGAGAGAGCCCAGCATGGTTGCCAGCGTCTTTAATCTCAGCTACTTGGGTGACTGAAGCATGAGAATCGCTTGAACCAGAGAGGCGGATTTTTCAGTGAGCCAAGATCGCACCACTGCACTCCAGCGAGGGCGACAGAGTAAAACTCTGTCCAAAATAATAATAATAATAATAATAATTTAAAGTGGAAAAACAAACAAAAAGTGCAGAAGGGTAGGTTTCTACTGTAATCACTTCTTTTTTTAAAAAAAGGAAGATGAAAGGCAGGCTGGGTGTGGTTGCTCATGTCTGTAATCCCAACACCTTGGGAGGCCAAGGTAGGAGGATCACTTGAAGCCAGGAGTTCAAGACCAGCCTGGGAAACAAGACGCCACTCTGTCTCTACAAAAATAAAACAAAATTAGCAGGGTGCAATGACATTCAGACTGTATTTCCAGCTACTCCAGAGGCTGAGACGGGAGGATCCTGTGAGCCCAGGACTGCAGTGAGCTATAATCCTGCCACTGCATTTCAGCAGCCTAGGTGATGGAGTGAGATCGTTGTCTCAAAAGAAGAAAAAAGAAAAGAAAAGGAAAAGAAAGAAAAGGAAAGAAAGAAGGAAGGAAGGGAGGGAGGGAAGGAAGGAAGGAAGGGGCAAATTCTAAAATACATATATAGGTGATTTACAATTTGGTGATTGTAAATACACACACATATATATATAATTTGGCAATAATAATCTTGGAATATACAAAAAAAAACTAAAACTGCTTCAGAGATTCGAAAAGGTAAAGTGAATGGTTTGGAGTTGGAGGAGACAACGAGATTTTTTACTATGTACTAGATTTCCCTCTTTGAAATTTTCAATGTGAATATATTTCTTATACAAACAAGGAACAAAATAAAAAATACTATTGAACTGCTATTTAAACTATTTTTAAATTGTTCATATTGATTCATCAAGAACATGGCAAATACATTTCAACAAAGTAAGTGAAAAAGAAGTCCGTACTACACAAATATGATAAAAAGAAGATAAATCGATATAAAAGAAATGTTTAAAATTCACGTTCTAAATATAAAAAGGCAAAATTGAACAGATGATTTTGACACATATATTTTATAAAATGAGGACAATACATAGAATAAAATATTAGGTAAAATATATATATTGAAATTTGTTTATTATAGCATTTATAAGTATTATCAAAATATGGAAATGTAAATACTTGATTTTGTAAATACACTATAGAAGAAAGGTGAATCCATTGATCCAGTTAGCAAAGTCCTTCTTCAAAAATAGAGAGTAGCCAACATAAACCATAGATTTTGATCTACAGTATTACGTATCCCAAAAGTGTATATTAAAAGTACTTCCAAATAATTAGTGCAAATACAGCATAACACTAAAAAGTAATAATTATGTACAAAGTTATCAACTAAAAAAGAAATTATGAAAGAAAATTTAAGGAGACAAATTGAACTAATTATTTTTAAAGTGTTGAAAGCAAGATTATTTACGACTCACATTGTCTGAAGAAGAAGGACCCTGAGGAAGGCTGGGACTGAAGGCCATGAGGTCTGTCTTGGGTGGGCCCTCCCCAGAGCACACCCTCTGCCGCCTCTGCTGGGAGAATGACCAGCTCCCCACCGCGCTGGAGCACACCAGAGTGGGCTTTACCAGACCACATGCACCCTCGGAGGACGGCGCTGAGCACCGCAACGCCGTGTACAGCAGCAGGGTAAGCACCAACAGACTGGACACGGAGCAGATGGCGATGATCAGGTACACGTTGACATCCATCAGTGCCACCTCTGGGCCTGCAATGCCCACCGACGCCCGCGACGATGCCTTTGGCGCCTGGGCGCTTTCCACCAGCGACACCAGCACGGTGGCTGTGGCTGTCAGCGAGGGCTCTCCATGGTCCTTCACCAGCACCAGAAGGCGGTGGCGCGGTGCGTCCGTCTCACCTAGGGCTCGGGTAGTGCTGATCTCGCCAGTGTACAGCCCCACGCGGAACGGGATGCGCGCACTGGCGGCGACAGGTTGAAATTCGTACGAAAGCCACGCGTTGTAGCCTGAGTCAGCGTCAACTGCACGTACCTTCGCCACAACATGGCCCGCGCCCACAGACCGCGGCACAAGCTCGCTCACAGCGCCACCAATGCCACCCACCCGAGGCGCCAGCAGCACCGGCGCGTTGTCGTTCTCGTCCAGCACGAACACCTGCAGCGTCGCGTTGCTGCTCAGAGACGGCACGCCCGCGTCGCGCGCGCTCACCTGGAACTGCAGCAGCTCCAGCTCCTCGTGGTCTAGCGGCTGCAGCGCGTACACCTTGCCGCTCTCCGCGTGCACCGACACGTAGCTCGACAGCGCGCGCTCGCCCACCCGCCGCTCCACCAGCGAGTAGGACACCAGCGCGTTCTCCTGCGCGTCCGCATCCCGCGCAGACACCGTGAAGATGTGGCAGCCCGGTGGGTTGTTCTCCTTCACGAACACCGTGTACTCGGACTGCGTGAACGCCGGCGCGTTGTCGTTCACGTCGGCCACCTCCACGGACACGCTGGCCGTGGCCCACAGTGAAGGCGAGCCCCCGTCCCGCGCGGTCACCACCAGCTCATAGGCCGACACGCTCTCGCGGTCCAGGACGCTGTCCAGCACCAATGAATAGTAATTCTTGAAGGTGGACACCAACTTGAAGGGGACGTGGGGCGTCAGGGAGCAGGTAACCTGTCCATTGACTCCAAAATCTCGGTCAAACACGCTAATCAAAGTGATGACTGTACCTGGCTGGGCATCCTCTGAAATAGGGAGAGACAGGGAAGTGAGAGTCAACTGTGGAGCATTGTCATTTACATCCACAACTTCCACAAGAACTGTACAATGACCAGCCAGTGGTAGGAAGCCTTTATCGACAGCCTCTACTGGGATCTTGTGTGCTCTACTTTCTTCAAAATCCATATGTCCTATCACTGTGATTGCCCCACTTACGGGGTCCATGTGGAACTTGGATTTTATATCTGGAGAAACATCACTGGAGAAGGAGTAAATAATATCCCCATTCAAGCCTTCGTCTAAATCTGAGGCATTGGGGTGAATCACCAGCGTTCCGATAGAAACGTTTTCTGGTAATTTCACCGTATAGAGGGTTCTGTCGAACACTGGGGCATTGTCATTGACGTCCAGTACTGTGATGAGTAACTGAACGGTGCCAGTCAGTTCAGGTTTGCCTCCATCGGTGGCCGTGAGCAATAAATGAAGCTCCGGAGTTTCTTCTCTGTCCAAAGGTTTCCGTAATACAAGCCCAAGAGGTTTTACCTGCTGGTTGCTGGTTGGCACATCCAGGGAGAAATACTCATTGGGGCTCAGTCTGTAAGTGAGCAAGGCGTTCTCCCCGATATCTGCATCGGACGCGCCCTCTAGTGGAAACCGAGAGTCAAGCGGCCTGGATTCCGCGATGAACAGGTTCTTTTGTGTCGCTGGGAACACGGGAGGGTTGTCGTTAATGTCCTTCACCTCCACGTCCACATGGAAAACCTGCAGCGGCCTGTCCACGATCACCTCCAGGTGGATGCTGCACTCTGCGCTCCGCCCACACAGCTCCTCGCGGTCGATCCGCGAATTCACAAACAAAATGCCATTCTGCAGATTTACCTCCAGAAGGTCCCCACGGAATTTGCACA